CTAGTTTCATCGAAGGTACCTTCAGGTGGCCATACTTCTTGGGGACCTGCCCCTCTAATTCTGGTTAAAAATGGCCAGTCATCTTGACATAACACTATAATTTTACTTTTACTCAACCCTGCTGTCCCAGAAAGTTTATTCCAATTTGCTAATAATTCTGCCAAGGGAGATCCTTTAGGTACTGAAGGATATCCTCCCATTCTGCAATTTTCTTTGTGAGGGGTATTTCAGAGTGATCCTTTCCTATTCCAACCCACAAACACAGACAAGGGGAGACTTGAACTCACCTTTCTGTAGCCGGCAGTTTGTAGGATGTAATATCGGGATCCTCTTTTATTCGTCCTCCCCGTCACAGCCTAGAGTCCCATCTGGGGTGCCAAAACTGTTAAAGGAGACTCGAACTCCGTCGTGGGTTACTCTAGGATTTTATTCAGGTCCAGCAGCGTTGGGTCACCTCCGCAGAGAGTGACAGCTTACATGAGTTCGCATTCATGTATTTATGCACCTACAAAGCATTACCTAATCCAGAATACACAGAATTATACTTTATCAGTCATTATTATCTTGACAATGGGTTTCACATCTTGTTCTGGAGTCCGACCACTTCGTTGTTTGTTTTCTTTTAGTCTTCAAGGGCGATTACCTCAAGTTCTGTACGTCTCAGTTCTTAGTAGTCACAATGATAGCATTATTATCTCCCATTGCTTCGGTAGCTAAGGGCCAGTTTCTCATACATCAACATCCTTTGAACTGTCAGGCACATCATTACCTTTGTTACAACATTTTATTAATGTTCTATTCAGTTGACTGCGCATGCAGCCCTGGGCTGGGGCTATACAGGGAACAGAGCTGATAGAACAGCTTGTGCAGCAGCACTGCATTGCAACATTTTCTCAACAGCACTTCTGGCTGTAAGATGATAGTTCTCTGCACTGTGCTGAATAAATGAAAACGTGGTTACGGGTACGTTGTACAGAAAGGCCAGTGGCAGACATGATCACTGTATTAGTTGTTGTGATTGATGCTAGTGTTACTGATAGGAGGAGTTTCTTCCTCAGTCACCTCCTATAAAGATCACAGCTTTTAAAATCCTGCAGACCATCTGCATAGTCTGTGGTATCTGAGCAGGGACCTACCTGCCATTAGACTCCAGGCTGCTGCTCAGTGGAAACGTAAGCCATCTGGAAGGCGAAAGGGGAAAGAAAACAAACACCTAACTGCTTCCAGTAGCAGTTGCCGTGGTGTTTGGGAATCCTGTTTTGTAACTCTGTCACAGGTAGCACATCTCCCACCATAGTTTTACATCTGTCCTGTGTTCTGCAGGTTTCTTCATTTCACCATGCTTTCTCTTTGTCTTGCAATGCTTTTTCAGTCTCTGGGCTTCTATCCTGGTGGTTTGTGGATATCTGCTTCTTGGAGAGGCTCTGTAATTTTGTAGTGTCTGCTGTTCACACTGTCTGTGTCTCAGTCCCACCAGTGTGAGGTTGTGGCCCAGACGTAAAAGCAGCACTGCAGGTTATGAAAACTATTCAGTGCTGGAATGGGTTCTGATGGGGACACACATGTCACAGCAGTCACGATGGTACCTGCTGCTTTCAGTGACAAACGGGCTTGGGGTGCTGCTCAGCATCTCTCTTCAGCCTGCATGGACTGTGTTCTTAAATCTTCTCTACAGAAACCTTTCTCGCTTTTCTGAAACAGAACGATAAATGTCTTCAAATGCTTTTGGAAACCTCCACGGGGATGTTGGGAACTAAAACTCTTCTCCCACAGTCTCTGTGAAACTTCTGAAGGTCTTTGAAATCTTTTCTAAATTACTGCTTTGTAAAGCACTGCCGGAAATTGTGAGGTAAGCACCAGAAAGGCAGTGTGAGTATGAATATGGAGCAAAGCTGGCTGAAACAGTTCAGCATGTGGGAACACACCTGTCTTTGTCACAGGACTGGTGCTCTTTCAATGGCTCAAGAATTCAATTCCCTGGTTATACTGATGCCAGTTGTAGCCCTATACTAAAAGGTACAGTTTTCTTCTGAAAGCTATGTTTTGACTTTTGTTTTCTGTGGAAAATGTACTGCATCTTCCTTAGCATTTTTGCATTTATGCTTTGCGTGGTTCTTGAGAACTTAAAAAGCAGTTGATAAACTAAACCCAAAAACTAGCCTGCTGGAAACTTCAGCACCCTGTCCCAAGCACTCCCAGCTCATCCACTGAGAGGTAAATCATGACTACGCCTGGAACAAAGTATTTTGTTTGATTTAATATGAAAATTAATGGTTGTCTTTTATTGTTATTCTTTGGAACCAAAAGTTCTCCTTATCAGGGATTGCTGTAAGAAGTTTTCTTTCAGAGAAGCACAAATAATTGCCTCCTTTCAATGTGTTTGCCTTCTACTGAGCTGAGGTACTAGCGATTAGTGTCTTGCAACAAAACAGACACTAAGCTATCCTAAACAAGCATCTCAGCTTTTTGGGTTCATTCCCTTAGTTTTCTGTTTTGAGCATATGAAGTGTCACCGAGATTTATTTTAGCCAGAGCCACTCCTGGGCAAGGCAAGGTAGCAGAGCAAGTTATCCATCATGTAAGCAGACCACCACCTCTGAGCACAAATACCTTCTCGAAGGGCAGCTTGTCCTCAGTCCTCCTGGGACAGAAGGTGGTGACGGAGCAGGCCAAGGACTACCCCTGGTTTTATCAGCACTGTGGAGAGTAGGTGAGGGGCCAGGCAAGCGGGGAGATACTATTTTTGTGCAAGTTGCCTGTTACAGCAGGGAATAGGACTAATGATTTAAAAGAGCCATATAGCATTATGCCTGATTTGGGACGCTATCATAATCCCTGAGTGGCTTCCCCTCCACACAGAGCTGTGCTATAGCTCTGTTGGTGGATAGCTTGTTAGCGGAGAAAGCCACTTAGCTACATGTGGCAGATAGATGGGATCTCACAGCATTTTTTTGCGGCTGGAGTGGCATATAAAGAGTAAGCAGAGAGCAACGTGATGCTGGACATTTCTGCTAGCGAGACTGTTTTACACACAGGGACTGGACTCACATCAGCAGGTACAAGAGGCTGATGTTGCAGGGTAGGCAAGCAGAGAGGTTACTTAAATGCTTTCTGAGAGGTGACTTCAGAGGTTCTGCACAGTGCAGGTGAGCAGCCCCATACCTGGTGTGGTTTTGGCAAGCCTTGGTGGTGAAAGCAATGGAACAGCACCAGTCTGACTCTTTGTCCTTGTGGCTGCCAGGGGAGCAAGTCTTTGCAGGGCTGGAGGAGCAAGCCCGCCAAGCCATGATGAAAAACAACTTTCCTGGAGCTCTTGGGGACCAAAGGCCAGCCATTCATCCGCTGCAAGACCCTGACTCCAGCAGCAGTGAGTTCTGCCCCTCCCAATAATGGCAAGGTAGTGGACTGGGGAGACTGACAAGGGGTGAGGCTAGGTGCTGCACAGCTCTGGGGACCATCTTACCCATCTCCTCCTCTGGGTTAGCCCTTGGCTCCTGTGCAGAACTTGGTCAGCAAACAGCAAGAGCAGGGCTGCTCCCTAAGGGAAGGCAAGCCCAGAGCCAAGGACCACCACAACACGGACTGGGCAATGACCTCACCACTGGGATGCAGTCCCAATTTACCAGAGCAGGGTGGTAACAGCAGCAGGTCCAGCTGACGGTCCAGCGATTGTCAAGCAAGGCAGGGTAACAGGCTAGGTTCAGGGACCCTGCAGAGCACTTCAGTCCCTGAAATGCCTCAGCCTGAGTTTAAATGGAGCCACTGGTCAGAGCGGGTGGGTAGAGACCCCAGATGATACTGGTCAGGACAATTAAGGCCTATGAGTGCCTGCAGGCACTTGGAATAACTGTTCTGCATGTTCCAGGCGGCAGTGATGACGAGGAAACGACCCAGGATGAAGTTTCTTCCCATACATCTGAGGAGGATGGCTCAATGGTAAAAGTGAAGAAAGAGTTAGAGAATGCAGAACAACCTGTGGCTGGAACCCCGCTGGTGAGAGAAAATGAGGCAAGTGTGCACTGGCTCTGCACTCTGCTTAGCTTTCCAGGGAGAGAGGAGGGTACTGTCTAAATACCTCCTCTCCCCATCATGGTTTCTTATCTTTTTCTCCCTCCCACCCCCTCCAAACAATGTCTCCTGGCAGGAGGAAAGGGTTTGAAGAGCTCTTGGGCTGCCAGGAACAGGAGACAGCAGGCACAAACTGCCATTCTCCCGCTGGTCAAGATGATCGTGCAGTGTGTGTCCCCTTCCTTCAGATCTGGTGCCTTTCTCTGACTGACTTTCCTTCTGCTACAGAGCAGACCTTGCCTACCTGAGCCATGGCACTGGCAGGAGCCTGGGTGCGAGCAGAGGCCATGAGGCTTCTGCCTGTTCTCCCCAAGATAGCAGGAGTTTTGCTCAGAGGCTAGATAAAGGAAGTTTCAGACTGCAAGAACACAAACCAGCCCCAGTGGGACTGGGGACACAGCATTTGATCTGGTCAAGGCCTGTCTGCAGTGATGACTAGATACTGAGGGTGGGTGGGGTGGCTGTGTGTGTGGGATCTGTGTGCTTTACACCAAAGTGGCTTTTTCTCCCTGTAGGTGCCTGAGAGCTTGCATGCCGACCCTATGCTGGGACTGTCACAGTGTCCTCTCTGCCAGCTGGAGTGTGGAAGCAGAGAGCAGCTCATTGCTCATGTATACCAGGTAGGGGATGGTTCCAAACTGTGGGATATCTCTGGCCTAAAGCCCCAAATCCAGAAACAACTCAAAGCACAGGGCAGCTTTGCTCTGGTCTTTGCAGTCACAAAACTGAGCTTCTGGCTAGGATGTGACTGAAGTTTACAGCAGTAAACTGTGTCCAGAGGGTTTCCTGGGAAAAAGAATCAGCAAGGCACCAGTCTGCAGATCTGGAAAACACACTCTACCTTAAGGCAGTATCTGCAAGCAGTTGCAGGCTGAGACAAGGCAGCTCCTTCAGATTAAACATGGAAGCAATTTTTACATCACTCAGTGAGATAAGAAACCTTTCTCCTGATTACTCAGTTCTTTATTTTGTACCTTTATCACAGTTCCTGAAAACAGCTGTTCTTCCTCTGAAATTATTCCAATATTGCAGGAAATCTGTGCTGGAATCTCGCAGGTTTTGTTGCCAGTGCTCTCTTTGAAGCACATCAAAGTCTGCAAAAGAAGGAATGAAGCAGAAGTGCATTGGCCACTTACCTGCACCAGCTGACTGTTTCCATCTAAGCGCTTCCTTGCCAGCATCCCACCTACTGTTAGTCCGGTCATGCTTTGTCCAGCAACAGCAGCTCCTCAGATGCATTTCTGAAAACAAGGGTCAGGTCTTACAATCCAAGTGTTTAAGCCTTAATTGTTTTTCTTGCACTGGAGTGGAGCTGTAGAAAGGTTTCTTCCTTGCTGTTTGACCTGTGACACCCCAAATGTCTTGAGCTTGGTCTAGGAGCTCTCAGACAGCGGCTGAGTGATAAAGTGTACCAGTTCCAAGGGGCTGAACTGAATGGTTTGCCGTAACTGTTGATCGTGCCTCAGACTGGGCAAGGAGCTGGGCAATTTATAACTAACAAACTAGTGATTGTTTTGCAGCACACTGCAGCTGTGGTGAGTGCCAAGAGCTACATGTGTCCCGTATGTGGCAGAGCCCTCAGCTCACCAGGATCCCTTGGGCGACATCTCCTGATCCACTCAGAGGACCAGCTGTCAAACTGTGCAGTGTGTGGAGCACGCTTCACCAGCCATGCCACATTCAACAGGTCAGGGTCACCCTGGCTGGTGAGTGGGCTTGGGTACCCACATTAAAGATTAGGTGGGTTGCCTTAAATGACACAGAAGTCATGGCTCTGGACCCACTGAGGCCTGCAGGAGAGTTGTGAACACCCCCAGTGAGATTCCCATGATCCCTTCCTGCCTGCAGCTCTGCATCACCTGCTAAGACCTCCACGGGCTGTGCTACTAAAAGGGTGTTCCTTAGCTCTGTGAAGAACTAGAACTGTGCAGAAGGCACTGGGGTCTCCAGTCACTGGAGAACAATCAACTGCTTCCCTTGCCCAGCACTCCATCAGAGTAGGTTTGTACTGCCCAGATGGGTTCATCGTTTCCACAGCAGGCCTACAGACAAAAACCAAAATGTTCTTTGTTTGTGTCCTGCCTGGTGAAAGATTATCCACTGACCAGTGGAACAGGGCTGAAAGGAGAAATCCAGAGATGATGCAGAGGAGCGGCTTGCTGGCTAATTCCTGCTCTTGTGCTCTTCCAACCTAGATACTGCTGTGGGCTAACCCACTTCCTACCCCGGATATGATGTTGCTTCATTTCTGACATTCAGACATGTCTGTGGGCAGGAATGTTTTGGCAGAGGCCTCTGTCATGGGCTGTAGTAGGGGCACTGTTCATTGCAGCCCCCTGGGCGGTCTGACGTGGGAGCTCTTCTGTCAGCACCAAGTCTCTGACTCTCTGCTCTTTCTGCTTTTCAGTGAGAAGCTGCCAGAGGTGCTCAGTGCAGATCGCCTGCCAGCACCACAGAGCGAGGGCCCCTCCGGTGTTGAGGGAAAAGACATTGCCTTTCACACCCCTGTGTATCCTGCAGGCATCCTCCTAGTGTGCAACAACTGTGCTGCTTACCGTAAACTGCTGGAGGCACAGACACCGGGCATGCGAAAGTGGGCACTTCGTCGGCAGAACGAGCCCTTGGAAGTGCGGCTGCAGCGTCTGGAGCGGGAGCGCATGGCCAAGAAGAGCCGGCGGGACAACGAGACACCTGAAGAACGGGAAGTGAGGCGTATGCGGGATCGAGAAGCTAAGCGCCTGCAGCGCATGCAAGAGACCGATGAGCAGCGGGCGCGGCGGCTGCAGAGAGACCGGGAAGCCATGCGACTGAAACGTGCAAACGAGACCCCAGAGAAACGACAGGCCCGGCTTATCCGGGAGCGTGAGGCCAAGAGGCTCAAGCGACGCCTGGAGAAAATGGACATGATGCTCCGGGCACAGTTTGGCCAGGACCCCTCTGCCATGGCTGCTTTGGCAGCTGAAATGAACTTTTTCCAGCTGCCAGTGAGCAACGTGGAGCTGGAGAGCCAGCTGCTGGGCAAAATGACCTTTGAGGAGCAGAGCAACAGTGCGCTGCATTAAGCTACAGCCAAGGACTGTGCCACCTCTGCTGCACCTGCCATGGGTGCACTAGCAGGCTTCTACACTCAGGAGGCTGCTGTGGGTCCCTGGCTGACTCTCCCTGACAGATAGTTCTGGTTTTCTCCTGAACAAAAGACCTGAGAGATGTCTGCCAAAGTAGCCCTGGTGGGAGCAGATTCTGAGGATGCAGTCTGCTCTGGGGGCCAAGTCGCAGCCTATGAACAGAGGGAAAATAAATTAATGTTCACATTTATTTAGTCCCCTTCTTTACCTTTTGTGCTTTGTCCTGTTCTTGGACCCTTGCCCCATAGATAGGTTTGGGCTGCTGAGGTTCTGCTGTAGGTGAAAGACTACCTCGCTAAAAAGGGATCCTGTTTACTGCAGCATGTATTATGGAGCTGAGGACTTTGATAGTCCACAACTCCTCCGGGAGTAAATCCCTCGCAGCTTATGCTCATAAAAAGGAAGCAAAGGAGGATGTTGTCTCCCTGGAAATGGCTGTGCACACCCTTTCTTTTAACACTATCATTATGTGCTTATTTGCAGTAGCATCCATGGAAAAACTAAGAGGAAACTGAGTTCCAGTTCTAAGATACCCCATATAAACACTATCAGAAAGGCTGACTGAGGTAAGCAAACAGCAAACAAGTTTGCTGGTTTACTCACAAGTTAATTTTCACTTAAACAGCATTTCAGGTTTGCAAATGAAAGGGTTGATTGAATGGTAAACAATAAGGGTAGGTCAGTTCTCTAGTAATGTATGGATTTGCTTTCCCCTCTATTCAGCACTGGTGAGGCCACACCTGTAGAGTACTAGGTCTAGTTCTGTGGTCCCCAGCGTAAGAGACGCACAGACATGCTGGAGAGCATCTAGCAAGGGGCCACTAAGATAGTGAAGTGACTGGAGTATCTCTCCTAGGAGGAAAGGCTGAGAGAGCTGGGACTGTTCAGCCTGGGGAAGAGAAGGCTTGAGGAAGGACTCAGGGATCTTACCAATGCTTATAAATACCTGAGGGGAGAGCATAAAGAAAATGGAGCCAGGCTGTTTTCAGTGGTGCCCCGTGACAGGACAAGGGGCAGTTGGCACAAATGGAAACACAGGAGGTTCCCTCTGAACATCGGGGAATACTTTTTCAATGTGAGGGTGACTGGGCACTGGCAGAGGTTACCCAGGGAAGTTGTGGGGTCTCCCACTTTGGAGCTATTTAAAAGACATGGTCCTGGGCAGCTGGCTGTATGTGGCTCTGCTTGAGGAGTTGGGGGGATGGACCAGGTGACCTTTGGAGGTCCCTTCTCACCTCAGCTATGCGGTGACTCTCTGACTTCATAGTAAGCTGAGCTTGTTCAACCCTTTCAATACAGCCAAATGCAACACTACTTGTCTAGGACCACTGATCACACTCAAGTTGTTAATTCTCATAGTAAATTCCCCCGTGATGAACAGCGACTTTCAGTAGTCACTGCAGATAACACTGTGGGGTTAAGGGGGCACAACTGGTAAACAAAACCACACAGGTAGGAAAGAAAGTTACTTTTGCTTCTACACTCAGCAGCAAAACCAAGGAGAGAAATGTGGAAAAAGGGTGAGCTAGGGGGGAGCCGTGGAAAGGTACAATAACAGTCTGGCAAAACCTGCCAGAAGGTAGGGAATTTAAGCCTTCTTTAGTTTATTCAAGAGGCAGCCAAAGTGAAATGTGATCATAATCTGTACCTATATAAAAAGGTTCCCATTGCTAATAGAAATCATGAAACTGTGCAACTGGAAATTAAATTGAGTCATGTTTAAACTGGAAAAGGCAAAACATCAGCACAGAAGGACTCATGATGGGGCAAAAGCATCTAAAAATGCATGCTGCAGCTTTGTGGTTTCCAAACGTCAGCCCACCAAACACTGGTGGGCCACACAGCTGTGTTTTGTACCCTGAAGACCCCTACTGCTTTCATAGCATTTCCAGTTAAAGTCTGCAGTCCAGTTACGTGGTGGTCTAAATACATTGGGAGCTACTGTCTTCTCTCTGATGGTTGTTTCTCTGCATTAAGTCAGGAATGGTGACCACAAGACTCCAACTTAAGGTCAGAAAAGTAAAGTTAAAACAAGAAGTAAAACCTTTCAGCCTGGTTACTTAGAAACCCAATTTTCCCTCCTTTTTTTCAGCTTAAAAACCTTTTTGATTGAAGTCCCTTAAAGCCCTAGCTAATGCTTACAATAGTTGCCTTCAAATTGCACAATTTTGCATTTTTTTTCATGATAATGAACTAACCTTACAGACAGTCTTGTGGACGCTTGCTACAAAAAGCTTTTAATCTTTTCAACACTACAGTTTCCTCCACATGACACTGTAGTATCTTGTTTCCTCACCTTACAGAAGCTGTTTTAACATAATATTCATTTCATCGAACTGACATCTGAGTGCCATCCTTGCCTCTATCATTTGGGGAAAAGGCACCAGATCTTTGAAGGATCTATTTAGTTCTGTGCTCCCTTGTTCTCTGAACAGATCTCTCATCACGATTATTCTTACCTCTGTCCATTTGCATACTCAAACCGACAGTTTGCTTCTTGCACTATTTGCTATAGCTCTATCTTGTGTGTTTTGCTTGGCCAGCAGAGATGTAGCTTCGCTCTGCCATCTGCAGCTGAAACTTTCCCCGCAGTGTCACTGGCAGCTGATCATTATTCCAAGGGGTTCAAGAAGGACCACATAAAAGCAAAAGTATTTGAACACAGAATTATGCCTTCTAATCCATCTGTCAGACAGCTTTACCTTGTCCTTGTCACAAGTCTCCAGATCACTCTCTCTAAGACCAGAGAAGCCACATCCTGATGATCACTGATGCTACAGACGAGCAAAAAGTCTCAAACACCAAAAGGAAAAGCTATTGGTTTATATATAGATATATATATATAGATATATACTGTGTTTACAGAGTCAACAAGTTAAATGCAATATTCATAAGAGCATTAACAATAAAAATACAATCTGTGTGTAGCCAAGTACAGACTTAAAATGGTAAAACAGGAAAAAGGATCTCACCAAAAGTACAAATATACAGTACAAATTGATTTATTTAAAACAGTTACAAAAAAAGCACAACAAAATAGAGATTATCCTTAGAATTATTAATGCTTTGTTAAAGATCAGTTAGGAGGAAAGGAGCAGGAACAAGGTTGGAGGGGAGCACCTGACTAGTTCTAAGGCTTTAGATACAATGCGGTCGGTTACATGTTAATACAGCCATTACATAACTGGGATTATAGTCGAGGGATCAGCACTTATCTACAAAGACCTCCTTGCCTCAGGGCAGCCCAGCCGGTTCCCCCAGCGTGACATGTCTGTTTCTCTGCTTTGCATGGGCAGACCCTCCCCTGGCGCTAAGGTGCCATGAGAGCGGAAAACAACTACAATGTGCATGGCTGCGTTTGCACGGTGTGGTGGCA